GTGCCACTGTTGTAAAACAGGACTGACCTCGGGGTTGGGGGGAGACTGAGAAAGATGGGTTCAATAATGTATACTGCATTGAAACAGATGAGGGATAAAACTGTTTAAAAGGGATATGTGATTAGGTATTTTGTCTTGACAGGGGCCAGAGAGAAGGCTGCATAGTGGAGTGGATCTGGGGGAGGGTTTGTAAAACAATGAAAGAATTTTTCTTTTACTTTTTCAAGAGGGCGGTGTACTGGTGGTGGGGTGGGGGGAGGTTGGGAGGGGAGAAAAGTGCAACAATGAATGAATGGAAATCCAAAGTCTCTGTACAGTTTCACTGAAATTAATAATAAATTGAAAAATATAATTTAATAACAATTTCAAGACCATTCCTCTTCAATTTGTCATCCCAGTGTAGTAATAGTTATTTTTGCTAAGTGTCATGACTCATAGCAATCCTACTAACAGATGTGAACCTGCCCTACCCTGTGTCAATCTCAGCATTTCTGATACACTCAAGACCTTTGTACAGTTACCGTATCGATGATCTTGTTGAGGTGCTTCCTTTTTTCTGAACTACATCTTTTTCAGTATGATGTCTTTTTTGAAGAACTTGTCCCTCTTGACAGCATGTTTAAAGTATGTGAGACAAAACTTTACCATTCTTGCCTCTAACACCTCACTTATACTTCCTCCATGACAGACTTGTTTGTCCTTTTGGCAGTCCTTGCAAAATTTAATACACTTCTCAAACACAATAATCTGAAAGCATCAATTTTTCTATCATCCTTACTCATTGCCCAGCTCTCAGATGCATAGCAAGCAGCTGCAAAGACTATGGTTTGAATCAAGTGATGTTAGTCCTTAAATGGAAATTGTTGCCCTTAGACACTTTGTAGAGGTCTACATATTCCCATGACATATTCCCAATGCAACATACATTTTTCATTTTTGACTGTCAGCACCAGGCATGTTGATTGTGGATCCAAGTAAAATGAAATTATTGACAACTTCAAATTTTCTCCATCAGTCAGGATGCAGCCTCTCGGTCTAGTGCTGAGGACTATTTTCTTGATGTTGAGATGTAACCCATATGGAAGACTGAATTCTGACCATTTGTAGCTAGTGTTTCAAATCCTGTTCACTTACAGAAAGCAAAATTGTGTCATTTGCATAGCATGGTTGTTAATGAGTCTTCTTCCAAATCTGATGTCATACTCTTCTTCACCAAGTGAAGCTCTCAAATTATTTGTTCAGCATTCACACTTAATAGGAACGGAGAAAGTATACATTTCTGACATACATCTTTCTTGATTTTAAACCATGCTATGTTCTTCTCTTGTTCATTTTAAACAATAGCTTCTTAAACTTGCGTTAAGTGTTTTAAGATTCCCATTCTCAATATTTGCCATAGTACTTTTGTGTAATCAGTCAAACACATTTAAAAATATTTCTGGTAATTCTCTGCTTTCTGACAAGATCTATCAGACATCAGATATGACATCACTGGGGTCAGGGCTTCTTCTGAATCCAGCTTAAATTTCTGAAATTCCCCTGTTGATGTGTTATTCCAGATGTTTTAAAAGAATCTTTAGCAAGATTTAAGTTACATATGATACTAACTATATTATTCAATAATTTTTGCACACTTTGGATTGCCATTTTTGGGAAAGGGGACAAATACGGATCTCTTCTTGTAAGTGGGCCAAGTCTCCCAAATAGTATAGGCTAGTGAGTACAGATGTATGTGTTAAAGACACCTCGATTAGCATCCCATCAATTCCAGGGCCTTACTCTCAATGCCTTTGAGATGTGGTGCTGAGGAAGAGTATTGAATATACCAAGCACTGCTAAGAGAACAAACAGGTCCATCCTGGAGAGCGTAAAATCAGGCTGCTCCTTGGATGCAAACATTCTATAGTTCCATATGACAAACTTAGGGCATGTTGCAAGGAGGAACGCCTCCTTGGAGAAGGACATCAAGCTTGGAATGTTGTAGAGACTGCACAAGAGCGGAAAACCCTCAATGGATTGAACTGACTCAGTCACTTGGGTAACGGGGACAGGTGTGTTTAGAGACAATTAAATTGGCCCAAGTTAGAGTAGGTTTCAGAGCAATTTTACACAGGGTCTCTATGTGTCACAAGCTACTCTACAGCACTTCACCACAACACCTGTATAAGTCTTGACAGATGAGTGAAGGAATAATAAAGTAAGATGCCAGACTGAAATTTGAGAGATCTCACTGGAGGAAAACAAGGCATTTTATAACAAATTAATTGATAAAAATTCCTAACAAAAAGGTTTTATGGTGATTTTAAAAGACCTGTAGAAAATGCTTAAATCATTTTCTAAGACGCTACTGAGAAGTTAGGAATTTCCTCCAAAAAAGATCAGTAAACAAGACATTTCCATCAAACAAACTAAAATACACAAATCCTACAGGATCACTAGGAATTTGAACACATTTGACAACAACCATTTTTGTTCTGTTGGAGTTCTGGTGATTTAGTACATAAACGTGAATGGCTACTAACCAAAACCTTCAAGTCCTTCTTAGAAAGAAGGATGGGCAGTCTCTTCCCACAAATGTTTAGAGCCTCCAAAACAATGTGGAGGGTCAGCTGGAGTAAAAGTCCACTTGACAACAGTGAGTTTGATTTGGATACAAATAACACGTATCTATGCATTGGAGATAATACAGAAAATATTTTTATATACGATACCTTCCACTGTATTTCTTCTTTATTTAAACCATAGCGAATTTGGCATTGAAGTTTATTCCTTGGAAAATCAGGATTTTCCCAGGATATATTTAATAATCCAAACTGTGTAATAACTTCTGCTTTCACACTGGATGGAGGCTGGGGTTTAACTAGAAATTTTAAAAATTAAACGGTATCACTTATCAGCAATTTCAGCAATAATAATGTTTAAAGAGCCTTATTAAGAAGTTACAATAAAATTATAAAGCAATACACCTTTTAAAAACTTTCTCATTCATTCTCATTTGACCCCTAAAACTTGATATGGTATGTAATGAAGGTATTATTTCTGCTTTGCAAAAAGTTTGATGGAAAAAAGATCAATGTCAGTCTTTAACATAAGTTCTGATTGGAAATAGAATCATTTATTCTTTATGAGAACACATTATCCTGGAAATATGATAAAATAAGCAGTAAACTATTCCTCAAAGTGCTTTAATTAAGAGAAAATACAAATAGTGCATTGATTTCTACATATATGAATTTCTAACTCACCAGCTGTCTTTTATAATTTCTAGGTCAAGGTCAGTAATAGTCTTTAACAGACTGTAATTTGAAGAAAACAGAATCTTAATGGCAGAAGTAGAAGCAAAGATGGCCTGAATGGTAAGTATGCTTTTTAAAATAACTTCTTATAAATAAACACAGAAACACACAAGCAAAATGGCTAAATATTTAATATAATAATTGTAAAAAAGAAAAATATTGTTTTTCTTTTTTTTCTCATTACCTTTTCTTGTTGCTAATCTCAGAGTTAACTAATATCAAATGTTTAGCTTAGAGTTGTAGTCACTGCTTAAATTTCCCCCATGTCTTTATGTTTAAGAGGGCTGGTATTCCTCATAATCTCGGCTCAAGGCACCTGGGAAACTAAAACAGTCCCTAAGCCACCCTTCTGCATTTCCTAACTTGATTATAATTCCAAGTATCAACTTCATTCAAAGGATATATATGGTACTGAATTCCTATCACGTTTGTCTTATGTTACATGTGAGTCTGTGAAGAAGCAGAGGAGGGGGAGAATATTCCCTGATATCCTAGGTATGGTGGCCTCGTAGGTAAATACTTGTGCTGCTAAATCAAAGGTGACACCTCTCTGGAGACTGGAATCTGCCAGTTGCTCCACAGGAGAAAAATCAGTAATCTCCTGTCTTATCAACAGCCTCTGAAAGCTTGTTGAAGGATTAGCCATGAATGGTTTATGACTCCATGGTGATCATCTAGTGAGCTACTTACCACTAGAAAAGAAAGGTTTAAAGTAAAATCACTCACAATCTAGCTAAAATAATTCATTTTGGCGGGATTGATTAAGACTTTAGATTGAATAAAGCAAATTTAAAATCAAGACATGCTTATTTTCAATTTAGAAAAAAATGTATGCTTCAATTCCATTTCAAATATGTAGTAAATATTGGGGTGGGGGTAGAAATGAGTATAAATCAAATCTTGAGTTTTGTCTAATTCCCCCAAAAAATAGTGTGTAGTGTCCTGGCATGTAAGGAACCGTAGTGCCCAATCAAAGACAAGCAGTTAAAATCTTTGGGAGAAAGGTGAGCCATCTCCCATGTAAGTTACAGCCTCTGAAAACCCGCTGGAGGGTCAGCTGAGAGTTGGCTCTGACTCGATGACAATGAGTTGAGGTGAAGAAGTACCAAATGGCATTGTTTCACTGATACTGTATGATCATGAATGGGTCTTTTTTCCCCCCCAGCTTTCACGTTGAGAGTAGAGGGATATACCAAGAACTCAGTACTTTTATTACCAGAGGACTGTCTCTTTTGAAAAGAATATTTTCATCTCATAATAGTTGTCATATTTGATTAATTTTATCTTCATTTTACTTATTTTGAATGCTTCTGATTTTCTACAAAAGCTTATTTTTAAAATTGGCTAATACTCTTTTTATTAATCTTATAATATGCAGATAAAATGTTATCAGATTAAGAATGCAAGATCATTTCATAAACTTATTGGTAAAATAATATATAAATATTCTTGAGATATTATTTAGAATATCATTACTAACTTTCATTCATAGTGACTGATGTATTGTTAAATTATTGTGAGTGAAAGCTGCCTCTAACTTGCACTCCAGTGGTGGAAACCTAATGTACCAGCAAGAACAGATCATGGGGGGCCACAGGGCTTGCAGTGGCTGATTTTAGTCTCTCTGAGTCTGGAAGCTCTGAAATAAGAAACATGTTCAGTCTCTACTGTTAATCAGGTGGTGGCTGTGCTTGAGGTACATCGACTGAAAATGGTACCCAGGTCTCCCACACAGAAAGGAAGAAGTCTACCACCGAACCATCTCTGCCTTCTACTTGTGAGATAGCATGCTGAAAATTTCCATATCGCAGCAAAGCCATACTATGAATTATCTTTAATAAAATCAAAACAAAACAACAATTAAAACTTTCCATGATTGATTTTTTTTTTCACAATCCCACTGTAAACAGGACCACTTCTACCCTGTCTCTCTCCCCAGTCACAATTTCTAGCATGCTCAGAAAATAGCAAACTACAACAGTATTCCTGAGTCAATCTCCATGAACATAAGGAAATGGGAAGGAAGACGCTCAATGCAGTTTGACGTACCCACAGACTGAGGAACAACACATGCTGGTGGTGAGTCAAATGAGCCTAAAGAGTGATTGATGCTAATCCACATTGTATAGCTAGATGATAGAGAGAATGGCTGAAATATGCATTCATAATATCCATCACTCTGCAAATGGCAATCTTTGGGTTCATATATGGGATGAATTGTTGGGGAGTCAGGACAAGAGAGTGTGCTCCTTAAAAGGTAATAAAAAATAACAAATTAAAATACAATATTAATAAAAGCAATTAGATTAAATTTTTGGGATTTCTACCTTTGTTGCTTAAAATATTTTTGTCCTATGTTTAAAGTGGATATTCTCATTATAAAGTACAATCTTACTGTATCACAATGTATGTTTTTTTCATAAAAAGAAATAGTAATCTTTATTAAATATAAGATATTAATATAAGTAGAAATGCAAATGAAATAAAAAAATATTGTTTTAACAAGGAGACAACGATCCAAGTGTAACCAACAACACTTTGACACTTAAATATCTATACGTGCTCTAGTTTTTTGTTTTTTTTTTTTTTGTGATCTAGTTTTAAAAGTATAGACAAAAGTAGTAATGGGGCATTCTTAAGAATGTTGCACATTACATTCCACCACTAATTGGCAATATAATTGATAATAAGTGACAGATTAACAATAATCTAATACTTTCTAATCAAAATTAAAAATCCTAAAATAAAAGAATACTGAGTGTGTATAAAAACTACTTTGTTAAGCACATTATTGATTTTCTTATAGAAGAAAACATGTTTAATGAGTTGCAAAGAACCTTCTGGCTCAGAACATATAAAATATTTCTTTTCATCTTTAAAATAGGTTTCTGCCACTATATGATATTTAAATTAATACAGTAGCGGTGACTGACAATTGGAAACTTGGAACACAGGAAAAAAAGAGAAAGAGGGTTGTTTTATTGAGAGATTACACTCTATGGAATAAAATAAATAATGCATAAATTTAGTGGAAAAGTATTATACGTTCTAAATTTTAACCCAAATTACAACAAAAAAGAGGGGAAAATATCCTCTGCACCCTGTATGCAAAGATTTGTCCCATCCTGTATTCTACTTGTCCTTAGTAACAACTAATATACAAGGCAATGTTTTGGGGGAAATCTGTAGTAACTATTTCCATGGAGACAAAATGAAGACATTAGCAGTAGATAGAAAAATCGAAATCCTCTGACACTCATTTAATTTGTTACCACAGACTTGTTTTCTATTTATTCAAAATTATAACCATGACTGCATATAAAGAGGATGTGATAAAGATATAACTGAGAGATGGACATATTCTATCTGTTGAAAATAAGAACATTAACTATATAGAGAGTGAAACATCCACTTGGAATCTAAAAGCAACATCATTATTATCATAACATCATTGAAAATTTGCTATGATAAGACTATATGACTTCATTCTAATCACAAAAAAAATGCAGCATTAACCTCATGGAAATCCTGTTAAGTCTTATTTTACTTCTCCATTTTACAGATGAATACATTGAAGTTTTAGAGAGGTAAAGAAATTTGCTCAAGAATATGTAGCTAGCTTCTCAATTCTTTTGTAAATGTTAGGTATATAAGGCATAGAACCTAAGATACTTCCACGCAAACAAAAGCCTCAAACACTTCTTTTTAAACACTTCTTTAAAAAATAAAGGAAGTGCCATGGATAGAAAATGAAAGATATTATATTAGTAAAACAGCATAGCATAAACACACCCTTGATTTAAGAGAAACGTATGTGAGAAATATAGAAAATTCTCTCTTGGTAGGTCATTTAAGAGTAAGTAGTAAGTTCTGACTCAACAGCACTAAACAACAACAACGACAACATAAGAATAGACAGGCAATCTGTGCATAAAATTCATTACTTGGGGGTAATAGTTTATTTTTTCAAGTAGGGAAAAGTAGATTTTAAAAATGGACAAATTTTACAAACCAAAATGCTCAAATACAAACACACACAGTGGAAAAGTGCTTGAGAGCACTCTACATACTTGAAAAGTGGGTTCTAAAAATAAAACAAAAAATTATCTTCTAATCAAGGGCAATATTACTTCAGATAAAACTATGTATAGGGAAGGAAACACTACAGGAAGGTGTATTTTGCCAATAAATGTTGTTCACTGGCATGAAGTTGACTCACAGCTGACCCCTGAGGGGGTTTTCGGAAGTTGTAAATGACGAGGGAAGAGGCTGCCCATCTTTCTTTCATAGAGGAGCTGGTGGATTTGAACTGCTTGCCCTTGGTTAACAGCACAACTGTTTATCCACTAGCCTACCAGAGTGCCTCACTTTTAAAATGGAGAAGAATAACTATAGATAACATCAATTAGTACTCATGAGAATAGGACTTTCCTTTCTTTCTCAAAGGGCTTCATTTAATTCTTTGTCTAACATACTGATATTCAACGACTCTCACTGAAGATGATATCAGAGCTTCTCAATTTGCCTAGGACTCTGGAAAGTCGTTAACAGGCTTACAATTTTCATCTTTCAAAATCTAGTTTTTGAAACATTTTAGTCAGATATTATTAGGTTTTTATAATCCTTATTTGCCTTTGTACATAATTCATATGGGTCTAAATTCATTTATATTATGTTGGATTCAAGAGCTAAAGTGTGATGATAAAAATTTAACTGATTACCAGAAAAGTAGTATTGTTAGGAAATGATACTATTCCTTTACTTAGAGTATGAATTCTTTTCAAAATTTCATTTAATCCTTCCATTTTTTTACCAATTAAACTTAGGCTACTTTCCTTACACGGGAAGAAAATAGGCAAGAATAAAATCATAGTGCATTTCTGCAGAAAACTTTTATCTCACTCTTACGAATTTCAGCAGAGTAAAACTGCAAAAGTAATACATACCTGTGATACCTCAACTGCAAAGTACTCCCCTCAAGTGATTCGATTGTATTGGGTGACCATTTACAAGTCATTTTAGTTATGTTTGCATCCGTTTCACATGATATATTTATGTTGGTATCTATTTAAAACACATTAAAATATTAAGATAAGACAAAAACACCAAAAAATATTTGAATACATGTTACTTACATCATAAGTGGTATTCCAAAACAGAATCTATAATTAAAGCATAAGTTGTGGACAAAAATGAACAAAACCTCTGTATCCTTACCAATAACGTATAACTCAGCATGGTGACGGGAGCAAGTTCCATTACTACAGCAGTACAATGCATCAAAGTCGAACCATCCTTGACGTTTTGTTGCATTCAAATTGTAAAGAGTAACTTTACTAACATGATCACTGATAATGCTGTACTGTCTTTCAGGAATATCCTGAGCCAAATTCCTTGACCATACAATGTCTTTAGAAGAAATAATATTGCTGCCATTTGCATAGATGCAGTGAAAAGAAGCATTAGATCCAACACTTGTCACAATTTTAGATGGGAAGTATATGACGTCTGTAAAGGGAGGGAAAGGGCAAGATATCAGAGAGACATAAAAAAACCCCTACAAACCATTATTTTAAGCAGTTTTTACCATTTAACAAAAGATCCACAATGCATTCCAGGACTCTACTTCCAAAGCCAAATTGTGTTAAGAGACCAAATAGTTCTATAATTCCCTGTTTACCTACAGTTAGTTAATTTCCCTAGTATCTTACATCTTTGATTACTGAAAATTAAGATTTGAATAAATTACTGATTAAAATCAAGTGGACCTTCTGTATTGACTAAACCTGAACACAAAGAAAACAAAAATGCTCACAACTGAGCCAATAAACAATATTAGAAAAATAGAGAAATGGCAGGAGTTGTCAAATAACTCATTATATGTGGATCCACTATCAACACCCTTGAAAACAGCGGTCAAAAATGATGCCACTGTTGTAGAATGGGACTGTCCTTGGGGTTGGGGAGAGACTGAGTAAGATGGGTTCAATAATGTATACTGCTCTGAAACAGAGAA